ATGCTGAGGAGGGAGAAAACCCATAAGATATGGTTAGTAAGACCTACCATTTCAGGTCAGTGTAACCAGTTACAGTTTCATACCCAATCATCAAATCTTCACTATTTCAGACATCCTGAACGAGCGTGATCATATGCCTCTCCCTGACTTTGTGACTCATGTATGTTTTAATTTATATACTAATCCACTCATTCTTTGTATGAATATAATGAGGTGGGTCTGTCTTAACAGGCTGGCAAATGATGATAATGGATATGATCATGGAGATGATATGCCTGGACTCATCTCAGTCCTACTATGGTGGACGTTGATGGTGATCGTGACGAAGCACCTACTATATGAATCTCTTCAGTTGGTGTTCCCACCAACCAGCCTCCCTTATAAGCATGTCCCAAGGTCCTCAAGAAGACACGTCTCGCATAGGAAAAGCTAATGAAGTATATGCACCTGCTACTTGCTATTTGCTACTTATTATTTGAATAATGCTTCTGCATCAATGTTTTTTTTTTCTTTTGAAATACATGCAGGATTTATAAGAGTTTTCATTTTAAACCATCTAACTAGATCCTAACCCGCGCAACCGCGCGGATTTATTTTTAATTTTTATTTGTATTACATGTTATATTCGATATTTAATCAGTGTTTTGAATTTCAACCGGATTCGAGATTGAACCAAGAAATTCGGTCACCTATATGTAATCCAGTTTGGTTTTAGAAAACACAATTATATAAAAGAACTTATTTATGAAATTACTAAAAAAACAAAATTAGATTTATAGTAAGAAAGTAGAGAGATAGTAAAAGAAAAAAGGAGAGAAGGTGGAGTTTTAGTTAGTTAATGAAATATACAATTTTTAGGGTCATTTGACATAATTTCGTTATATAAGAACACAATAAAAGCAGTAAAAAACCGTTAAAATCTTGAACTCGATCCAATAGATAATTTCTACTTTTTTTATTTAAGATTTTGTAACTATGTTATCAAAATTTGTTTTGTATTCTATATAAAAATTAGGTTCTTATTTTTTTACAATCATTTTCCTCTACTGTTGACTTTGTTTGTCCTTCGATTATTTATGTCTTTTGATTTTTTGTTTATCGTGAATTTTACTTACAACTTGACTTCTGTAATTTTGATTTGTTATTTTTAGATTTATTTTCATAAATAAAAAATTCTCTTATATTTTAAATATATAATATATTATTATGTAGTAAAATTTATTTATTTATTAACATATGGCTCACCCGCAATCGATATAAGTGGTAAACAATTTGATTATTCTATATAAGTGGTGAAAAAATTTTGTATAGGCATTTTACATAGTGATTTCTAATATTATAGGTCGATCCGCAAAGCAAGAAACAAAAATTAATTTAGAAGCAAATTAGGTGATTAATAATATGTAATATTATAATTGTTTATGTATTTTAGTTTATCTATTATATTGTTACAGTAAAGATTATTTATTAATTATGTATGTAGGGAACTTTATGGTTTGAATTTTTAATTTAATTATTTTATTTGTTTAGAAAAGCTAATAAATCACTTCCCCTTTTTTAGGTAAATTTAGACTAAGAAAAATGCATTAATAAATAGGAAAAGACAACCAAACTAAAATATAGCTAGATTAATTACTTCAGTGGCATATAATTGTAAATAACTTAAAAATTAAGGGGTAATTTATTTGGGTACTTCTATTTTAATAAAGTAGATAAATCTGCTTAAATTAAACGTTTGTAGGAGTGATCTTTATATATAAAGATAATTAAATTAAATAGAACTAAAATATCTAATAAATACAAATAATATAGGAAAGAATTAATGTAAAATCATATTTGAAAGATTAGTCAGTATCATGTAGTATTTTTTATATGATAATTAGCTTATTTAGTTTACGAGTTTAACCTCATATTAAAGATTCAAGCAAATTTTTATATATGCTTGAAATAGTTAGATCATAGGTCCGATTAGATGGGTTATAAATGCAAAAAAATTGTTAAAAGAATTTAGTCTGTAATTCTTAGTAACTTAATTATATTTTTTATATCAAAAATATTATAACAATTTAAACAGCTGATTTTTGGAAAAAAAGACATTAACTAAGATTATAGTTTAAAGGAGGAGGATCCATTAAATTAGTTACAAACTAAATGGAAACAAAAGTTATAAGAAATTGTAAGTAAAATGAAACATTTTTGTAGTTTAACCATTTGAATATCATAACTAACATTTTATTGAATTTTTCTCATTTATTTCATTATCTCATATATATATATATATTTTTTTATTTTTTTCCAATAACAACCATATAAAATTTTAAATACTGAAATTTTAAATTCATAAAACAAAAAAAAAAAAAAAATTTTGTAATTATACATTTACTTATTTTTATAATATATTATACTATTCATATATTAAAATAAACATCAAAACTGGTTTCATATCTTATCACATCTCTTTGCAACTAAAACGTTTAATTCATAGGATGTAGAGGGAGTCAACCTAGAGTGGACTCATCCACCTTCTTTTGCATAGTTGGTAAGGCATAAAGCTTCCAGGTCAGAGTGTACATGAACAACTTCACTGCTAACCATCAGACCTTCACTATCTCTCGCATGAACAAGAGTGACTGTCTTCCACTGCCTCACTTATACCACATTTAGTTCATTCAGGGCATTCCTTAGAATGCAAGTAATGATATGTGTTTCTCTTTAATCGGGATGGTGGCGATGATGAGAAGATGACTTGCCTGAGAACATCTCAGCCCTTCCTAACGTTGGCATCGAAGGTACGAACGTGTGGAAACCTCATCTGCAGGAATATCCTCCAATGATCCTGCCACCAAGAAGCCTCGCCTTTCAACAACTTTGAATGCGATCAAGAAGGCATGAACAGCTTAAGTTAACATGGTAGAGTTTCTATAGTCAGTTTTCTTCTTTTAGTAATGCTTAGGCATTAATGTTGGTTTTTTAAAATTTGAGTTTTTCGAGTCAAATTTCCTCTTTGAATAATGTTTAGACATCAATATTTTTTAAATTTTCTCCTTATCTGGAGTTTGCTATGTTTTTTATAGCTATCGTGAACATGGTCATGAGTTTAAAGCATAACTCTGAGTTTAAAACCGAAGAATACAAATAATAATACTTTGCGTAAATACATTTCATAATAAGCCAACGACGAATAATAAGTTTTATGTTTAAGAACACACCCAATATCCAAGTAATTACTTCACAATCAGACACATATCCACCCAACTTAGATGACATACTTATTATAACTGCCACTTCTTAGATCCATATAAAATATCAACCTAAAAAATGAGATGTAATATTTTAGAGATAAACGAAAACACTTCTCAATTAAAAATAAATAAGCATTAAGCACCACTAACAATCTATAACTTAACGCTAGGTAAGAATCCTCACAAGTGTCCACTCATCTAAACACATAACTATCTAGGATCTAACCATTTTCATTACAACTTACTCTAAGCACTCACTGTATACATGTCTTCACGGAAACAATACATTGAAATAATTTTAAAATTGCCCAACGACTTATATTTTGTAACATATAAATATAAATACAAAATATATGCTGCACAAAAACAAAATACAAACATATAATCAAACTAATAAGAAAATCCCAGACGTAGCAAATTATAAGAATAATACAATTATTTGAAAATCTAAAATAATTACATAACAAAAATGAAATTACTTTATTAGATAGATAAACATATGATTTTTAATAAAATTAAAAAAATTAATAATAAATATATTTAAAAATAATTTTCACAAATTGAGATGAAACTAAATATATATTATTTTTTTCTTACATCCCGCCCGTAGGGCGGGCTTATCCTAGTATTCTTAAAATCTTGGCAAAAAAATGCTTTTAATTAATTCCTACGTAGTTATAGAGAGACGAGTGCATTATTTATTCTTGACAGCCATAATCTTTAAGATCATTGTTTATACATAAAATGTGCCGCTTTCACGTAGTAATAATTTCCATTCTTTAAAGTTTTTTTTTGAAATGTCAAAGAAATGAACTTCCAAAAGCTTAAGATTCTAAAGTTAAAAAAAAAAGCTTATCATTCAAGTTCTAACTCCGGAAAAGGACATTCAAAGGAACATCTGCCTAACCTAACCTAGAAATATTTTTATATCAACTATTAATATTTTTAATGATCACCAATTAGTAACAGATATTTATTGTATTATAGAGTACATGAATATTCATAAATTGCTTCAAGTACAAATATATGGGTTGCCGTAGATTTTCTTAAAATAAGATGTAAATTCATGAAGTCTATTTAGTTTTGAGTTTTTCAAGTTTATTTATGTCTGGTAATTCAATTTTCATGCGTGACTTATATCACCTAGTGAGAATAACACGAGTTAGGATTGCCAGTCAGTTAGTAGAGGGGTTGTCAAAAAAAAAAAAAGTAGAGGGGTTGTCTTTGATTATAAGTTAATAGATGTGGATGCATGGTGGATTTGATGATAGGTATATGTATGTTTCTTGATATTTAAACTGGGCATTATTTGTATAAGAAAAGTAATTGATCCAAAATATGTGAATGACATTAACGAGATCGGATAGACCGTCAAACCGTCCATGCCTTTTGGAGGGAGGAGATCTTCGATTCGTTATTGAGGGAACAATGATTAAATTAATTTAATTATGTTCGATTAGTTTTTGATGGTTACACGTATCCATAATTTTTTCATTCGGAATAATATCAAATCTTGCAACTTTATATTTTAAAAATTCTGGATAACTTCAAAGACAACGAAAGTAAATGCAAGAGGATAATTCATAATAAATATATCACTAAAATAATGTAGAGAAGCTCTACTAAAAGAGTGTTTTGGTTCCTTTAGTAACGAAGAAGATTTTTCTATATAAAGGCACCACTGGCTTTCTTTCCAAAATAAAACTGAAACAAGGAAACAAAGATCACGCATAAAAAAAACTCCTTTCTTCAAAGGCAATGTCTCAAAAGGATAGGAATACAAGGATCGCTCAAAAGGCTTTTGAAATGGTTGATAAGATGTATGGTAAGTACCAAAATGTTTATAGAGACGAGTTCGCCTCTCGTTATAACCAAAATTCTTATGAATATGATGGTCCAAAAGTGTATACCATAAAAAAGGCGACTAGTACTACTAGTTGTCGTCGAGTAATTTATCAGTATTCAAATGAGTCAACTATAAATGTTCCGGTTGTTTCTCACCCCTTAGAACATATTCAATACTTTGGTGATACCTCTCCTTTTATCGTTCATGCCAATCGGTCTGAGAGGCCGAAAGGACAGGCTATTAGCTGCGATGAGGCGGCCAAACTCTATGGAGGGGTGCTTATAAAAGAGTATCGTAAGTGAGCAGGGTAAAACTCAAGTAACGTCGAAGATGCAGTCACGCAGGGTGAATTTAATAAGGTGTAATATATTTTATATTTTGTTTCTGCTTTCGGAAAAGTGCAAACCAACACATATGCTACAGCTTGTTTTAAAGGTTTTGCTTAGAATAAGCTTTAGATCACTACCAAGTCTTTGTGTTTGGTATGTATCTACAGGTACTTTATGTTGATGAAGCTTATGTAATATATTATGGTGTTTCAACTAATAAAGCTATATATATATATATGCTACTGTAAACATTTTCTTGTTCAGAAGCTAAGGCAAAACATATTGTTCATACCTTCAAAACCGACCACTGGTATTTTAGACGTTTTTTTAATACTAGTTGGTTATGATATTATACGATGAGAAACATTACATAGAAGATATTACAGCCGACAATTATACATGTCATATGAGGATTCACGTATGACTGCATTACCTTAAGCCTCCTCATGAGATTCATCCTGACTGTACTCCTTGCGCTATGCTGAATATCTCTTCTAAGCTCTTTCTCCATCAAATTCATCTTTTCTAGGAATCGAAACATATACTTCATGGTGTAGAAGCATTAATGAACTCTTGATCATACCACTGGACAAAGAGGACTTCCACATTTTAAAGGTTTCAAATAGACAAAATATTTGGCCTTTTTTAAGGTTACCTAAATTTTTTGACTAATTTTCTGTACAAGAAGCCCTTTAATATGGTAATCACTGTTTTGAAACCAGTCTGGACCGGCCGATCAAACCATCGACCGTGACTTATTGAAAAAGCCAAGTCCAATTCAATTTAAAACCTGGATTTGAAAAAAACCGGTAAAACCGTTGTCCCTAGTCAACTAAAAAACCGGTTCTCAAAATCAACATATAGTTAATGTGTTTTCAATTGTTATTAAAACTTCATATTTCAAAGTTTTAATATCATTATTTAATTGGTTTTCTATTTAATTCTATTTCACTAAGAAAGAATGTAAAATTATTCTTGGCTCTCATATGATATTATTATTTTGTCATATTTATAAAATTTGAGTCTTTTATTGTAAAAATAAATAAACACGGTATTTTGAATGGTTAATATTTTTTTCTCAATTTCATTTAAAAAATATTGCATATATACCTATATTTATGATTATTGTTTATTTTTCTAGTTAGTAAAAGAAAACATAGAACATATCATATATATATATATATAATTTAAGAAATAAGAAACGCGATTCGACGGTTGAGCCAGTCAACAATCAATTATATTGATTCGGCAGCCGATCTGGTTTACAAAACCTTGATGATACTCGCTTAAGGAGTTAACTAGATTTTTGATCCGCGCTTAAAAACACGGGTACCATTTTTGTTGTTTTATCTACAGATGAATCGATAAATCTTTTGCTTTGATGAAACAAAATGTCACTATCTAATATAATTTTTTTTTTTTTAAATTAATGCAGATTTTGATTTATTGTTACTATCAATATCTATGTAAATGTATTGTATGTAATTGTTTAGTTTACTATGGGAAAATAATATCAATTAACTACGTCTAGGAAGCGGGTCAAACTCACATTGCCTGACCCGCCTGACGCGCAAAGAAAATATATTTTATCTGCATCCCTCCTCGGGGTGGGCGTTCGAGTACCCATTCGGATTCGGTTCAGATCTATTCGGGTTTCGGATTTTTGGGTTCACAAATTTTAGCCCTATTCGGATATTTCTAAATTTGGGTTCGGGTTCAGTTCGGATCTTTGCGGGTTCGGTTCGGGTTCGGATAACCCATTTAAATTATTTTAAAGTTTTAAAATTGATTATATACTTTAAATTTCTAAAAATATAAAAACCAAAATAATATATTACAAATAATTGAATAACATAAGTCAAAATACCTAAAATTAACATATAAATTAGTTTGATTTGAATATTTGGATTGTGAATCAATAATTTTTTAAGTATTTTTGATGTTTTGAGTGTACTTTAGCAATTTTACACATGTATGTTTGACTATTTACATATATTTACAAGTATTTTGAACAGCTTCAAAGTATTTTATATATATTAAATGTTTTTTATATACATGAAATCTAAAAACAATTAATATATATAGGTATATAAACCTCTTTCAGATATATTCGGGTACCCGAAATACTTCGGTTCGGATCGGGTTCGGTTTCGGTTCTTTACATACCAAAATTTTGAATCTATTCGGATATTGAATCAATTTCGGTTCGGGTTCGATACTACTTTTTCGGATTGGGTTCGGTTCGGTTCTTCGGATCCGGGTTTTTTGCTCAGCCCTAATCCGTTCCACTTAATTTTACGGGTAATCCGCGGAGCCCATGGATAATTATTAAATAATAGAAATAATTATTTGTTTATTATTAAATAGTATATTTTAGATTAAATTTTTAATATTTTAAATCTAATAATTATTTTAACGAAATTTAGTATATTTTTGAAAAATAAACTTTTTCAAAATAAAATTGTTTCTATTTTTGTGGATTAGTGGGTACCCGCAATTTAAATTAGAAGAATCCACACTCATTCCGCGTAAAATACACTTGCCGCACCCGCAACTTAATTTTTTCAAATCGATCGATCCGTTCCGTGGCGGGTCAAACAGGGCGAGACTCGCATGTTAATATCAAAATGCTCAACTCTTACTACGCCAATTAAGGTTGATATTTTTATTTTTAAAGAAATTTCAAAAATTATTAAAAAGTGAACTGAGCCCATTAATAAAATCCATTAGTATATAGTTTTTAGGCCCAAAAAGGAAAGACAAAATTTCCATTAATGAAAAATTAAATTTGTTCATAAAATTAATGGTAAATTTGGAAAAAATAAATCTTTCATTAATGAGAATGTTTCTGTTTTAATGGTATTGATACTTATGCGTACATCAAAAGGTTAAATGCTTAATGAGTTTATTAATACTTATATGCACCATAACTATAAATAAAAAAATTTGGAGTTGGGTTCTCAGATAATCAAATTTCTTCAAATTAATGAAAACTAAATTATAGAGAATTGTTTTTTTATAAAACAATTACATAGAATCCAAAGCATAATGCAAAAGATATACGTTATAGTCCCATACCATGCATGATGGCATAAAATCAGCATAATTAATAATAGATGTTATGAATCTTAGATATTTTTGGAATATGTAAAATTATGTGTTAATTGTTCTTATAGTTTTTTTTTGCATAATTTGTAATATCTCGATATAAAAAATTTTATCCAGATAAACAAAAATATACTTATATTGTTTAATTTGTTATAATAAATAACTTAAAATTTTAATTATAAAATATATTTATTGGAAATAGTTGAGTAAATTAATAAAATTTATTATTAATAAATGATATATATAAAAGACAAAGTGCACTAATACTAAGGAATACACACACAAAAAAGTGGCACGACTGCTATGAAATTTGTAAGTACGTAACATATTTCAAAATGGAGGTAACAAAAATATAATATTTTTCATTCTAAAACTTTTCAACCTCTCTCTAAACTATTTGAACTTGATAACATCAAGTGTTATATCAATTTATCATTTTTTTCTTATATGTTTCTTACTAATTTATCTTGTTTTGCAAATGTTTCATTACATGGTTTCCATCTTTCATTCATTTAAAAGTAGATCAATAGATATTGGACATGTATTTTTGTGTGTGTTTATATGTTAGATTCCAATAAGTTGTACATTCAACATAATGTGACTGTTTTATTTATTAGCTAAACATTAAAAAAAAAAACTTTTTTGAAGTTTTTCTCTATTTTGATGTCATTTTAACATTTTCGGATATGTAGATTTTTTTCAAATCTGAATCAGGCTTTTCAGAACACTTCTGAACCGAACATATTTCACCTAATCAGAGTCTCTCTCCTTATATAAAGAAAATTTACACATTTTCTCTCTTCCACTCAAATGGTTTAAACAAATATGTAATGTTTCCCACTCTAAAATTCTTCAACCTCTCTCTAATCTTTTTGAACTTGAAAACACCAAATTTTATATTAATTTCTTATTTTTCTTATGTCTTTCTAACTAATGTGTCTTGTTTTTAAAAGTTTTCACGACGTGATTCTCATTTTTCACTCATTTAAAGGTAGATTGGTAAATTTTGAATATGTATTTTTGTGTGTTTTATATGATATATTCTAAAAAATTGTAGATTCAACATAGTGTGACTGTTTTTTATAAGGTAAGCATTAAAAATATATTTTTGAAGTTTTTCGCTGTTTTTGATGCAATTTGAACGTTTTTGGATATGTTGATTTTTTCAAATCTGAGCCAGAGTTTAGAAAACTTCTGAGAAAAATTCTAGGTGAGACTTCTTGGAAGACTTCCATGTAACTCTTCTGAACCAAAATTATCTAACCTAAGTGAAGTCTAAGCTTATCTATGTAGAGGAATAATCTCAAACTCCATATGTAGTACTTTTGTTTATGGTTTGTGTTATGATTGCTATGTGTACTCATTTAATTGTGAATTATTTTGTAAACGTGAAGAGATGTTAATGAAAATAATTTGTTGAATATGTTTATGTCTACAATATATATTATTTTGCCAAAAGTACTTTACATTATTAAAGTTATTGGTATAACATATCAAGAAACATTTTAACCAAGATACGAAAACTAAGGGAGGAGACTTCTCAACAAAACTTAGTCAAATACACAAAAGATCAAATAATATATAGTCTCACTAGAATACTTTTCGAAAGGCTTCACTAGACGTCTTCCTTTAACATTATCAATAAAATAATAATTCTTAAGAAATTCCTTTAAAATAATAATCGGAAAACAAATTAAGTATTTTCACAGAAGACTTATCGGAAGACTTATATAGTCTTCTCTAGAAGTCTTCGCGCAGAGGACTTCTCGCAAAAGAGTTCTCGCAATACTTAAAACGTAAATTAATCGGGAAATGTGAGCGAAAAATGAAAATTTAAGCGGGAAATAAAAATTTAAGCAGGAAATGTAAATTTTAAATGAAAATAGAAATTTTAAATCTCATGAAAGTTAAAAAGTATATCTTATAATCTAAGAAGACAAATTAAATCACATGACTTGTCATTCTTGAAGTTACTTGACACTTTTGAAAACTAAAAACATATCTTGAAGTTTTTTAACGCTATAGAAAATAAAATTTTACAAAAACAAATGTAAAAGACTTCCACTTAATTAAGTCTTCTCTCATTAACAAGAAACATTTATATACATGAATGTTTGTAACCTCATAATTATCACCAATTAATTTATAAATTTCATTCAAAAGCTACAATACTGACTAATATAAATGAATTAATAAGAAAATATTGAAAAGTCTTTTTAATGTTAGAGAAAATGAAATTTTATTAAGCATTGACGTAAAGACCTCTACAGAAGTCTTCTTGAAGTAGACTTCCACAAAAGTCATCCATTTAGGTCAGCTTTACAATTGCAAATTTACATAGGAAGACAACATACTTCTTAGGAAGTTTACCTTTGTAAACATTGGTTTACTTTTGTATTTCAAAAATTTTTGAAATACCAAACTTCCCTGGAAGTCTACTCGGATAAATAGGTTAATTTTGACTTTCTATAGAAGATTTTTCTTAAAGTCTTCCGTTGGAAGACTTCCAGAGAAGTCTTATCAACTGTTACATGAAATTTTCTCACGGTCGGTAGAAGTCTGCGTAGGTTACTTTTGCAATTAATCATATTTGACTTTTTTGCAGAAGATTTCCATGGAAGTTTTCTTCAATAACCAAAGGTTTGACCAGAAGCCTGGAATAAAAATCTTAGAATTCCAAGGAAGTCTTCTAATTAAAAGTAAGTGTTTTATTTTTAATTGTCAATTGGAAAACTAATCTACGAAGACTTCCACTGACTGTGAGCATACTTTATGTAATAGTTGAGAATACTTTCATAGAAGTCTTCTGACGGAAGGCTTCCAGAAAAATCTTCTATAGAACGTCAAATTTCTGATACAATTCAGTCAATTGTAAAACTAACATGTTTATCCGAGAAGACTTTCACGGAAGTTTACTTTTTTTTTGTTACAAAGAAAAATTGGAAAATTTCTAGAGAAATCTTCACTAAAAATACACATCTCCATAATATTATTTGAGAAGTCTGTTTCATAGGTGTCGCGTTCACGTTAACTCTCACGATGGTTGATTACATAAATACCCTTAATGAACTAAAAATATTAAATAAATTGATATTAATAATGTATTTTCTTTTTCATAATAAGATTTTACTTAATTTTTTTAATATAAGCTTACTTTTTAAAACATATAAATAAAAAAGGAAATATTTATGAAATATAAATCTTTATATATAAACGAAATTTAATAATTTTCAAAATTTTCCTAAAATTTTCCTAAAATAACATGTTTAGTGTTTATTTAATTGATATTAATAATGTACTTCCTTTTTCATAATAAGATTTTACTAATTTTTTAAATATAAGTTTACGTTTTTAAAACACATAAATAAAAAAAGGAAATATTTATGAAATATAAATATTTATATATAAACGAAATTTAATATTTTTTCAAAATATTCCTAAAACAACAGTGTTTATTTATGAGATATTAAAAAGGAAAGTATAAATATTTTCTTAAAAAAGAAATATTTTCATCAAATAATTTCAAAATCCTTTTAAATAGCGTGCACTTTACACTATTAATGAAATGGAAATATAATATTTTATCATTATTAAAAATTATTTTTAATATTTAGTTTGCTTTTTAGTTTTATGTTTTTATATGTTTGTGGAACATAATATATAAATAATCAAAATACTCAAGTAAATCTAAGTTCTCATTTTTAAGATTGTTTAAAATACATTTCAGATTACCTTTTAAGAGATGTAAGACATAAAATAATTTAGAATTTATAAATACTTAATTATTGTAAATATTAATATGTGCTCATGAAATTTCAAAAGTTTATCTTTATAGTCATATTTATGTATGTAAGTTCCTATTGATCGTCACTTTATTTTTTAATATTTCTTAAAAATCAACATATATTCAATTATTAAAAATGTTATAAAAATACTTGCATTAAGAGATAAATAAAACTAATTTTATTTGATTGAATTAGAACAAAAATAATTATATTTCATTTTAATAGCAAATATATATAACTCAATATACTCACAAAACGAGTAACGGAAAGAATCTAACTTATTTCCAAAATAAAAGATCAAACTACAACAAGAACATATAATTTTAGAATAACTATTTATTTATTTTTATATATATAGATTACAGGATGACTCAAAAATATCAATATATAAAAATAAATTATTAACCAACTGTTTCAGTTTTATATATGTAAATGAGACTTCAGAATACTATCGTTATATTCATTTATGTAATTTTGAATCAAAATTTCAGTTTATTTTTAATTTCATTATAAGCATAATATATATTAAACTATACTTAATCTTAATAAAATATATTTACATATATAAGATGATAACCAATCTAAATGCAATAATAATCAAAGTTTTAGTATATTTATAAGAAAAGTATTATAGTTTAATTCAGAAAAATAGATGCAATCTAAAATACACAAGTGTAACCAAATCGACAGTTGACCAAAAAAAACAACCAAACTGATTAAATATAACATCTCCCAAATCGTATGTATAATTAAAATAATATAATATAAGTTATACATATAAATTATAAACTAATTTATAATTAAAAGTAAATATCTATCTAAATTAAAAAAATTAGAATATACCACAATATATTACAACAATATATTTACTTGATAAATATTCATATCCGTGCATGAGCACGGGAAAATCACCTAGTAAATTATAAAACTAACATATGCGTTGATCAGAAGACTTCCGTAGAAAAAGATCTGAGAAATCCAAAGGTCATTCTTAGATCCAATGAGATTTATGTTTAGTTTCTCTAAGCACATATAACTTCTTAATAAAAGTTACCCACTCGTTCTTAACCAAGTATCATGAACTTGAGTAACTCCACATAAGCTAATAAATTTTGAAATAAAAAAGTTGAGATTTTGGGATGAAATAAAAGAGGAAGTGCAAGAGAAATGGTTTGTGTGTGTAAGAAATATGAATATGAATATGTAGAATGTTGATTTTATGAAGATGTAGAGTTTAAAAGTGATTGTTTATGGTGGTTGGTGTATTGAAGACAATGGCAATATTGTACATAAAAGAGAAAGATGAGGATAATTGAGTAAAATAAGCAATTTCAAAAAAAATGACATTTTCAGTTTGAACTTCTGGGGTTAAATAGCAAATGATTTTCTTTTAAGAAAAAAATATAGGCTACTTTTGCATTTCACGTTTTGTTTTGAGTCACATTTGCAAAATGCCCAAAAATAAAATAAAAATATAAATCTAATGATTTTTCTTTTCTATGTTTGAAGAACTGTAACTGAACCAACGAACCAATAAATCATATCTGTGAATTGTGATATAACCATTGTGAAAGTTGCACGTGATTTATTCATCTGATCATTGCAAGTCTTGGAAACAAGTGGAGATCAAGAATGGACTGAGGATGATCAGCCCCAATGCATGTATATGTTATATACTCATATTATACACATATCCAATTTTGTGGCTAATCACCTCCAGTGATATAAAAAGAACATTAATATTCCCGCAGGTAAAGCAAAAACCACTGGTAATATTTTTTAAAAAAAATTAAAACTAATAATCACCTCATGTTCTTTTAACGGTATATAACTAACTTTCCCTCCCTTCTCCCACATATTATAGAGCTTCAAAACCAACTGAAATCTAGCAATTAATGTTATATTAAAAGAAAACACTTAAAAAACAAACATGCGGAATGGATGGAAGTATTCAAGCCAGATTAAAAGTTTTGCTTTGCTGGGCATCGCATCTCTCTTTATGGCAATGGCCATACGTGCAGAAACCAATGAAGGCGGCAGCCCCAGTCGAAAAAACACAGAGATTCACCGTGGGAGCAAGTTGATGATAACGAAAACAGCAGTGAGTGTGATATGTTCCTCCACCGATTACAAACAAGATTGCATAGCAAGTCTGGAGACTGTGAAGTCCCTAGATCCTCGCAATCTTATTAGAGCTGCGTTCGATCTAGCAATCATCTCGATTCGTAGTGGAATAGACCGGGGGATGATTGATATAAAAAGCAGGGCAGACGCAGATGTACGGACGAGGGACGCACTTAATAGTTGTCGGGAGCTTATGGATTTTGCAATTGATGATCTTCTAAAAACGAGGGATACATTCAAGGGGTTTTTGTTCACCAGATTGTCAGATTTCATTGACGATCTTCTAGTGTGGCTAAGCGGTTCAATCACGTATCAACAAACGTGCATCGACGGATTTGAAGGGATCGACAGCATAGCGGCCGAAATAATGGAAAGGGTCATGAGGAAAGGGCAGCATCTCACTAGCAACGGTTTAGCGATCGCTTCAAATCTCAATGCGTTGTTGAAGATTTTTCGTATCCCGCTTCCATTTCTGAGGGTACATTCTTTCAAAACTAGCAATTTAGATTTAATAATAAAAACATTTGTCATGGCAAAAATAAAAATATTGGCTAGATTCCATTTCTGTCTTTTACTTGCTCTTTTTAAAAATTTATGGTATCCTACGAATGTATAATCAACACCGAACTTGATGTCCCCAACAGCCAGGACGAGATGGACTCGGCATTTTTGGTTCGGATTCTCCACAAGAACAGCCGTCAGGTTCTTCCAAAGCTTCTCCTCATATAGGAAATTCTTCCGAAGTTTCTCCTCAAATGGGAGATCCTTCCGAGAATCAACAGTTGGAGTCTTCCAGTGATTCTCCTCCTCAAAATCTGAATGGTTCCAAGAAAAGACCGTTGGATTCTTCTACGGATTCTCCTCAAAATTTGAATCCTTCTAAGACTCAGCAGCTAGATCATTCTGAGAGTCAACCTTCGGATTCTTACGGTACTCGACCGTTGGATTCTTCCGGAAATCAACCGTTCGATTCTTCAGAGAATACTCCTCAAAATTTAGATTCTTCAGAAAGCCGACCGTTAAATACTCTTGGAAAACTAAATCCACTCCGAGCATTGGATCCTTTAAAGGATAGACACTTATCAGAGGAAGGAGAGTTCCCACGGTGGGTAACACCGCATTCACGAAGGCTGCTTGTAGCACCCGGAAGAAGGATTAACGCAAACGTAGTGGTGGCAAAGGACGGAAGCGGTACTTGCGAGACGATCGCACAAGCATTGGCAATGGTACCAATGGAAAAGAGAAGGAAGTTCGTGATTCACATAAGGCAAGGTGTTTATGAAGAAAAGATAGAGGTAACAAAGAAAATGCAAAACGTCATGTTCATTGGAGATGGGCCTACAGAAACCATCATCACCGGAAATGTCGCCTTTTTGCCTGACCGCATCGGCACCTACCTTACTGCCACTGTCGGTACACTCAAATATCATTTTGCTTTGTTTTACATACATTTTTTATACAATTTATGTAATATTGAGCTAACCTGAACTATCGAGATTCATCAATGAGTTAGTGTTTTTTCTTTGGTGTTTGAAGCGGTATACGGTGACTATTTCATGGCAAAGGACATAGGATTCGAGAACACGGCCGGAGCGGCACGGCATCAGGCAGTTGCACTCCTAGTTTCGTCCGATTTTGCTGTGTTCTTCAACTGTCGTATGGATGGTTACCAAGACACACTTTACGTCCATACACACCGTCAATTCTATCGTGACTGTCGCATCTCAGGCATGATAAGATCTTAACCAAAGTAAACCAATAAATTGGTTTAAGAATACACGTGTATTAGTGAAACTGCTCTTGTATTAGTGGAATTGTCTAACGTGTGATAGTTGGGAGATTGGGTAGTTACTTGACGTGTTTTCTATTATATATCGATGTAGTTTTATTTGGATGATATGAAAAAGAAAATTGCAGTAAACCTTGTGTTNTCTATCCAAAAAAAAAAAAAAAAAAAAAAAAAATGTTTCAGCGACTTGTTGATTGTGAAGATTATTACGATCACGTCTACTCTCCTTGCGAGCCGGTGTATGACGCATACAACGAAGATGTGGTGGTCGGCCTTCATGAACTGCAAGCTGAGTTGCTCCGTAAAGTTCATGAGGAGTTCCAAAAGATGAAAGGTTCTTTGTCTGAAAATTTTAGGAGTCTTGAGGTTACCATGAAATATATGGTGGAGACAGTCAGAAAGATGAAGGCTGGTGATGGAAGAGCCAATGGTGGTGCTGAATATCAACCGGCTACACAGATCATGAAGGTGGCAACGGATACGCAGGTTCATGAGGAATCTCGTCGACATGTGACTTCACTACTAAAACGATCTACAACTTCATCACCAAAACACCAGCAAACTCGACCGGTTCCAATTAGACGTGAACATCCCACTGCTCAGACCAGAAAACAAAGAAGGCATCGTCGATCTAACTCGTCTAAGCCGAGAATAGCTAGGTCTACAAAACCTACGGAACATGGTCATCTACCTCGATCTTGTTTCTTACGGTGGGGGTTACAACTTTCATCACATGTTCTTTGTTATGTGGAGGTGGTCGTGTGTCTAGCAGGCCGAGATGGTATCAATAGAAAACGACCATTCGATCGTGGAAGAGTTAATAGAAAACGACCATTTGATCATGACGAAGCGGTGTTCTAAGATTGATACTGAACTTTGGGGACAAAGTTCTTTGGAGGGTGGAGTATTGATAAGATCTTAACCAAAGTAAACCAATAAATTGGTTTAAGAATACACGTGTATTAGTGAAACTGCTCTTGTATTAGTGGAATTGTCTAACGTGTGATAGTTGGGAGATTGGGTAGTTACTTGACGTGTTTTCTATTATATATCGATGTAGTTTTATTTGGATGATATGAAAAAGAAAATTGCAGTAAACCTTGTGTTNTGATAAGATCTTAACCAAAGTAAACCAATAAATTGGTTTAAGAATACACGTGTATTAGTGAAACTGCTCTTGTATTAGTGGAATTGTCTAACGTGTGATAGTTGGGAGATTGGGTAGTTACTTGACGTGTTTTCTATTATATATCGATGTAGTTTTATTTGGATGATATGAAAAAGAAAATTGCAGTAAACCTTGTGTTCTTGTTCTTTAAGTCTTTGGGACCTAACAAGGCACCATTGATTTCGTCTTTGGGGATGCCAAAGCCGTTTTCCAGAATTGTGAATTTGTCATTCGCCGTCCCATGGATAACCAGCAGTGCATCGTTACAGCCCAAGGGAGGACAGACCGGCGTGAGACAACCGGGATCGTTATCCAAAATAGTCGTATAACTGCTGATGCAACATATCCTCCCGCAAAGTAACCATAATAAAACTAGTATAAACTTTAACTATACGTACGCACCTTATTTCACTAGCTTTCTACAGGAACAGAGCGTTTTTAGGACGGCCATGGAAGGAATATTCAAGGACAATCATCATGAACACATATATTGATGATGTGATAGACCCAGAAGGCTGGTTGAAGTGGAACGAGACGTTCGCACTCAACACGTTGTTCTACTCAGAGTATCGCAACAGAGGTCGTGGTTCGGATCAGTCCCGCCGGGTAAGGTGGAGGGGTATTCAACGACTCTCCGATAGGCAAGCGAGAGGATTCTCTCCTGGGGATTTTTTACGTGGCAACGCATGGATCCCAAAGAGACGCATTCCCTACAACGCCTATTGAAAGTTTTTTTTTTCCTTTTGTTGTTGTTAAACATGAAAGCATGTCTCTTTATAGTTCCATATTTTTTTCAAGGAGATACTCTTTGTGTATGTAAATCTGGAGAGTAAGAAGAATTGTACAGCTTTTTAGTGGAAGGTATGTATAGTATATGCCATGTTCGGGAACACGCTAGGCGCTAGTCACCTGGCACGGTTGGGCCTAGCGCCTAAAAAAAAATTGAAGATTAAGCGGGAATTATATGGGGTGGAATTTTTAAACTATTTAATATGTTAATCTGTAATTGTGTATAATTTTAATACATTTCATGTTTAAAATCATATAAAACACACAAATAAAATATATAAAATTAATATGATATAATTTTCAGTAAATTATAATTATAAATTATATTTATTAAATTTTAGATCAAATAAATAGATAAAATATTATGAAATAAAAAAAATAGATTGGGCGACCGCCTAGGTGGCTAGGCGGTCATCTAGGCGGACTAAAATTGGACGCCCAATTTTGTATAGCGATTTGACATAAATCGGTGCGGAAGAGGGTCGCTTAGCGCCTAAACGACCGATTTTTAGAACAGAGAGTATATGTAATGTTTTCCTATAATTAATGACATGATTTTAGGTTCTTTACATACATACCCACAATCAGATTTTGAAATGAATAAATTAAGATTTAGAGAAACAATAGAAAATGATATGTGTGAGTAGATCTGTAAGATAGTTTATTCAAATTGAACTAATATTATTAACAATGAATATGATGAATACAAAGAATAAAACACAAGATAATACAACTTGAAGAGAGTATTGTAGGTCTTAAGTAAAAATGTATGTCTAAAATGATGATCTTGGCTTATCTTTATACTTCTCAGCTTGCTACAACTACTCTAGGGCGCACATGTCCTGTCTTGCTCCAAAGATCTTGGTCTGGTGTAAATGTTTGACCGCGAGGTGATTGGGTCTCAGTTGTTATCTTAAACTTGGAGTTTGCTATCTCGAACTGTGAAGTATCCCATTGGATCATTGGGCCTTGCTTATGGACCATGTCATCATTGTCAATTTAACTTGTTTCGATTGGACCTTTAGTAGACCGGATTTATGTACTAAATTCTTCTCAAAAACATCAAACAATAAATAAAAGAGACATATGAGCCTCAGTTAAACTATCCACGTAGGCAAAAATAATTATCCAATAGATATTTTGTTATGCCACGTCACAGTCGGAAGTAGAAATGTGGCCTGATTTTTTATCTGTTTCAAAATTATCGTGTGCTCCGTTAGGCCCATATAATAGAAACCCTAGGATCAAGAGAAAGTAGGCGACACACCTTTCTCTTTCGTTTTTTCTTCATAGTTTCTCCTTACCCAACTGAAAGTCGATCAATCGACACCACGCCTTACATGTGCAATGAATCATTTGAATGTCTCATTTATGGATTCATTTCGCATTTCTCCCTGTGAATTTCTTTATAACCCTCTTTACTCCAGCTTTGTTACAAACAAAATCTTTACAAAAACTCTCTCAAGTGCCTATTGCGATGAATATCAACAGCAACTCCACAGTTTCTGGCGATCATATGACGAAGAAACCTCTCCAAATTGATGGGGTCTCCTCCGCCGAGTCGATCAAACTTACCGGTCAATCCGGTGTCTCCTCAGCTGTCGTCGACGATCCTGTAGGTGAGACAAACACTAAAAACTGTCCAAATACGCAGATGAAACTAATCGATGGACACAATATACATGAGCTCCAACTACTCCCCATACTTGACAGCAACAAATCTTTCTTGTGTACACCTCCTCCTTATACATTGATCGGATGCGACTTACCTACAGCTTGGAAATCTCGCGGTTTCGTATTACCTTCCTTGGATTTTTCCCAGGTAAAATACAATAGTCTCACTGTTTGTAAGAAATATGATTATAAAGTCACGAATGTGTTAAATTTGCACCTTTTGTGTTTTCAGTTCTCACTAGAAGAATAGAGTAAGCAATCATGAATTTTCTCAGACACGAGGTCGTGTTCTTAATTTGCATTCATGGCCGGATTTAGATGATTTAAATGTAAAATTTTTGGTGGGAGGTTGCTTAAGAAATTTGTTCTTAGACTTGGTTTTTGACTAATTTTTTATTTGTAATGCTTTCTCATAAATTGGTTTGAAGTTCAATAGCATTTTGTTCCTTTGGTCAACTTTGACTAAATTAATTCTCTATCATAAAAAAAAAACTATATTCAAATCATCGGCTTAATTAAAATCATAACAATCTAGCTACATAATTTTTGATTTTTTTGCGTCAGCAAATAAAAAATCTATATGTATATTAAACGAACAATGCATACCATATATTTAGCTAGACCTATAATTTTAATTCTAAATTAAACCAAGTAAATGTTGGTTTTATACATCGGTTTTTGTAGTTTCCTTTAGACAGTGTGGAATATCAACACCTAATATATATATATATATATATATATATATATATATATATATATATATACAATAACAATAATATTTTGAAGATTTTTGTTCTTTTGCTAAAATTCGACATTTTTAAGTTTTGTTGACATCATTTTTATAAGAAGAAAAATTAAATCGCACGGTGTAGTTTGTTTCGATTATGCACTCTAAGGGATAAAGTATTTTTTGAAGTATGACATTGTTAATTACTTGAGTAAACAATGCCTTTTGTTTCCTATTTGAATAATAGCTTCTTTAAAGAAACAAAAAAAAAATTTCTGTTTGTATCATCGTTTTCTCTAAAGACACAAACCCTTCAGAGAAACGATGTTAGCAATTCAATATCCCCATATAGGCTCAATGGTCTTCTTGACTCGCTTTGCTCAATCAGTTGTCGTTCATGGTTGGAGTTTGTTTTGATGACTCCATCAAAAACAGGTTCGTCTCTTTGGTACATTCTTTCACCTTTTTTTCTTTGGATCAGGGTGTATGCTAGGTTAGATCATCTTCTCCTTGGTGTTTACATATCTGATTAGGATCTCTTCAAAAACTTATATTTTGGTGTGTAATTGTCCCATTTGTCGACTCTGTCGTTTTTAGAGACTATGGCTTAGATTGGTAACACTTTTTTTTTCTGAATGACATGAAACAAATCAAAATGCTGAACAATTTAAAGTCTGCTACATAAAAGTTTTGGAATTAAAGTTAAGTGTGATCAGATAGGTTTTGCAATAACTACAATTATTTAAGAATTTTAATGGAAGATATTTTTACAGGTCAAGGGTGGTTTTGTAACAAGGAGGAATCAACCGAAAGTATGATTGGAGCCATGAATATCCAAAGAAGTCTATCACCTTTACATACAGAATATGAAACTCTGATATGGGAGAGTAGAGCATGAAGACCCTAACTATTTCAGAGGTAGTGTTTGCAACAGATTGTTTTCAACTGGTGACGATGGTTTCTACACTGATAGACTGGCTGGCTTTCATTACATGCATGGAAGAATTTCTACGATATAAGGATTTCTTCTCAAATTTTGATATCCAGCATGTACTAGGGCAAAGCATACAATCGCTGATAAATTTTCAGGGTGCTCGGAGTCTGCCGTCCGCTATGGTATATGTTGATTCAGTTTCACCGAGTTGGTTGTCGGTGTGGACTCTTCCAAGGATTTTTTTTGTCAAAAACATAAGCCAATTCTATGAAGAATCTGCAAACCAAACCGTTAACTCTTCATCCATATGAACACTGAGACTCTTCCTAGGATTAATATAGCCTTTTATCGGAAAATATATATTTTGTTATATTATTAAATTTTAAAATTATGAAAAAATAGATTTCAAATTGATAGAAAAGATTAAATATTTTAATATTATTTAAAAATGAAGTAATATTTTTATTACAAAAATTTTCATGTACTTTTTGATACATTCGTAGTAGATAAAAAGTTCGTAATATTTTGAAGCCCAATCAAACTCGAAATAAGTTACATTTTTAATTGTCGTTGTTGAGTAAATTTTTTTGTTACAAAATAAATATTATATTATAATTTCAATGCAGTTTTTACATTAATTTATACATTAATTATTAGATTTTTGGGTTTTAATCTTGTTCCACAAAGTAGAACTTTGTACATTAATGTTCTTTTTTAAAAGGGAAATTGGACTGTATGACAATCAAATAAATTATTTATTATGTTAAAAGGACAAAAATACATACCTATTTTTATGTGATTTTTAACAGATTTTCATTTCATTTATAATCAAATTTAATCACTTTATTTATTATCTTTTCTGAATCACTTAATTTATTGTCTTGTCTGAATATGAAATCTGTATGGATTAGTTTTTGATGTATAAAAAATTTAAAATATTAAAAAAACTAATGTATCCGAAACATGTTCGGATATTTACATCAAAAATAATCATATTAATTGATTCGATTCGAATATTTTGAATTCAAACTAAAAATAATCAAATAACCAAAGTAACCATATTATATGAAGTTAGTCAGTTCAATTATGATATATATGACTTAAAAATATTCAGTTAACTATATGATGACAAATATAAAATATCTAGCTTTAAATATGAAAACAATTAGTTTATAAAATGTAAAATTTAACACCCACACGAACATGTAAGTCAATCTTTAGTAATTTATTAAGCCGAGTTTCCCGTATTTTTCTTTTAGTGCTTCGATCTAAAGCGATAGCTTCTAGCTAATTCAGTGGATAAGATGGTTGTGCTCCAGCTCATTCAAGAATGTAACGTGAAATATTCTATCACTATACTATTTATCATGTTTCATTCTGTTTGATGATTATTAAATAATATTATTATTTTTGTTAGAAGATATAGTTTGTAATTTTATAATGCCTTAACCATCATTTCATGTTTGTGAACATTGGTAATATTTTTGATAAATAAAGATGAACTTTTTTACTATTAAATATTTGTCCATATTTTTTCTACCCTTTTAACATTCTATTTTTTCTAATCTCAGATATTTGTAGTATTGTATTCGTAAATTATTT